TATGAATTTTAGAATCAGTGTGTCAATCTCTGAAAACAAAACAACAGCTGGAGAGGTCAGAGGTGGTCAGATTCTGGAGAGATGCAGCAAATGACAATGGCAGGATTTGGGACCTGGGACACTCCCCAGGGTTCATGCGCGAGGAGCTGATGGCTGAGCTTGGGGAAGGAAAAGCTGGAGTCCTGTGAGAGGCTGATGTTATAAGCAGGGATGGAGTTGGAAGAGGAGTCTGTGGGATGGCAGTGGGGAGAGTGAGGGGAGTAGAAGGAGCCTGCACGGTGATGGAGGAGAGGAGAGGCTCGGGGTGCAGGGGGAAGTAGGGGAACACCCAGCAGCCAAGGAGGGAGTCAATGCGTAGTGGTGCACAATGGGGATGTGGCGGAGACATTAGTGATGATCTTCCACCCACTGTTTTGGTGGAGGGCTGTAGGCGGAGGCCAGTTGGAGTGGGGAGTGAGGAATAAAGTTAGCAAATTTGAGCTCCTTAAGAAACATGGTTACGCAGGCGGTGGAGATGGAGTGGTAGCAGGGCTGTGGTGTGGAGTCCAGATGGTTTGTGTTCTTTAGACATGGATGCCTCAAGCTTGCTGAAGAGTTGAAAAGCCCCAGGAAGGGTTCAGTTTAGAGGGAGTGATCAAATATTCGAGAAGAATATGGTTGATACACTAGGTACCATTTAATCAGTAGTGGGAAGGAGGGGTATAGAGCTCAGATGGAGAGGTTGGCTCAGCTGGCATGCAAGACCTCCCTCCCTGTGTTGGGGACAGAGCAGAGACAGAGAAGGGCTGGGGCTGAGGGGCTGACATTTCTTACTAAGTGGTGAGAACTTCTGATAAGTGTGCATTGGTGCGGGGGGAGCATGGGAGAGCCCAGATGTGGGCTCTCTCTGTGTGAAGACCATTCCCCTTTTGCATGCTGGGTGAGGGGCAGGTGATAACAGCCTCTGGCTCCAGAGGCAGCCCATGGTCACCAGAGACAAAAGACCTAGTGAAGACTCTGAAAACATTTTGACTTTTTGCAATCACCGCCTGACCCCTTGCTCAAGCTTCTTGTCCTTTGTTCTTATTTTGGGGAGGGTGGGGGAGGTTTTGAACTGAGGGAGGTGTTAGGCTGTCAGTGCTGAGGCAGGGCTAGAGGGACAGTTGTCTAGGAACCCACTAGGAGGACATATCATTCTGTGTGGGGCCCTCCAAGAGTTTGTGGGGCTGGGAGTGGGCACAAAACACCCGTGTCTGGAAGGAGAGATGGATGCCACCTGTGGGCCCATGGGTTTCCAGATGGCCGCCTGGGGGTCTCCCCAGGTACGGGAAGGAGGGCTTCATGCTGCCTTTTCAGGGGTCTGGCTGGGCTGGTTGCAGGTCTGCAGTGTTCTGAGGTGGGGTGGGTGGGTGGGTGTCATTGGTAGACAGACCTGGCTTTAGCCTGGGGCATGGCTCCGACCCAGTGGAGGGAGATGCCAACTGATCTCTCAGGAGAGTCCCCTCCCCGAGGACCCACACATATCTGCTAGCAGGCCCTGGTTGCTTTTGGAGCTTCTCTGTCCGCTAGAGTTCTGTAAAAGTGAGTTTGGGGCCTCTGTGGGGACAGACGCTGGGCAGTATGGAGCAGGCGGGGTGCGCAGGTGTTATCGTCCTTGCCACCTGGTCCTGAGCGGCTTGTTTGCTGTTGTGTCTACGAGCAGGGCTTCAGAAGAACTCATCGGAGACATAAGAATCCAAGAAAAGAAGCTGTCTTGAGGAAAATGTGCTCTCCACTCGCACCTCCTGATGATAGAGGAAGTGATATTCTCATGCCTTCACTGCACCAGGCACGGGCAGGTCACTTTCTGCACGTGCTCTAAATCCCCAAGTGGTTCTTTCCTCCCACTTTATGTGTGGATGAAGAAGGTGACTTGCAGGTCAGGTGTGGGGCCAGGAACCAGATCTGCCTTACCCTCTGCCTCTCTGCCCCCTCTGAGTGTTGGCTGATAGCATGACTTCTAGAAGCGGCATCTTGATGGGGCCCCCATGTCTCTGTGCAGGGCCTTCTTCTGGCCTGGGAACTCTATGGTTGTCTGGCATGTGGCGGCTGCCTCTGTGCAAGCTGGGCTGCTAGTTGCTCAGTACATCCAGACAGGAGGGGTCTTGCCTGTGGTGGGGCCTGGCCACACGCACTTCCCAGGGCGGGACAAAGAGGTCCCCGTGGGGGTTTCCCAGCAGCAAGAGGCACAGCTGCACTTCACTGGGCTTCTATTTATTATTTATTTTTTAATTTTTTAATTGTTTTTCCATTTATTTATTTATTTATTTATTTATTATT